CCCCACACTCCCCAACGATTTAAAAGTTTTTTTGGAAAAAAATAAAAAAGGAAGGAAGAAAGAAAGAAAGAAAGAAAGAAAGAAAGAAAGAAAGAAATGATGTAAAAGAAAAAAAAAAAGACATAAAGAAAGAAAAGAAGGATGAAAGAAAGAAAGAAAGAATGAGGGAAGGAAGGAAAGAAAGAGAGAAATAAAGATAGGGAGAGAGAAGGAAGGAGGGTGCGTGTTTGTAATTTTTTTTTTTTTTTCCTTTGCAGCGTTGTCGTTTCTTTCGCTTTTTTTTCTAGCAATGATATATATATATATATATATATATATATATATACAGAGAGAGAGAGAGAGAGAGAGAGAAAGGTTGACTACTGCGGGCCATCGGCACACGCATCGATGTGCATATGTTTATTTCTGGCCTGCAGTAGCCAACTTCGGCCAACATCAGAATGGGTGACCGTGCGTGAGTTTCTTTGTTCGTGGCTTCCGGGTCTATCTATGCGTCCGGAATAGCGCTGTCTCTCTGTATCCCTGTCGCGTCCGATTTATATGTGTTTACTTGCGTTCTGGCGTTGATGTCTTGCTTAATTCCTGGTTCTGATGCTTGCGTTTCGAAAAAAGGGTCCGCCATGTTGAGTTGTACGTACTACTGTTGGCGCCATTGTACGGAAGCAGTGAGGCTCCCTCTCTCTCTCTCTCTCTCTTGCTGTGTCCACGTATTTGTCTGTGTATACAATGCTCTCCAGATGTCAACGTTCACCACGACCGGGCAGAAAAGGAAGCCGGGCGGAGAGTTTCATGCAAGGATGGATGACTTCCTTCCCCTTTGATGCATGTGGGAAAAAAGGGTGATGGCTCCAAGGCGAAAATACGAGGATCTGTGCAGCTCTTTGAAACCCGCGGGAAAGAAGGACAAGTGCCGGAAGAAATCGGGGGCTGAGAAGAGGGAGTCGAAAGAGCATCGCAGAAGCGGTGCCGGCCTCTCCGCGAAAACGGTGCACAGGCGCAGGCGTAAATCTAGGTCGAAAGTTACAGTCCCTTCGAGTGAGCGGTACATTTCAACGCTGAAAGAACGTAACGAGTCGCCCCCCTCGACCCCTGTCGGGGGAAAGCGCGGAAGAGGCGCCGAGAACCGTCCGCCGAGGGCGCCAGAAAAAAAATCGCGGGATGATAGAAGCGCGACTACTCACCGGAGTTCAAAGAAGAGAATATCCTACAAAGACGAGAGACCAGTGGAGACAATCGATCTTGGATGAAGAGGAGGAACACGACCGTTCCACGCCAGAGAAGTCAGACGGTGCGGAGGATGAGGAGGGGGGAAACGAGGGAGACGACAGCGGTCCTTCCCGCGGGCAGTCGCAAGACACCAACGAGGACAACAACAGCGACGGCAAATCGGCCAGCCAGAGTACCGGCGAAGACCAGAGTGCCGCTTCGGAAGGAGATGATTCGCCATCTCCTTCGAGGACGCTGCGCAGCGAAGGAGAACGGCAGACACGCAATAGCAGCGACACCGAGGAGACTGTCGGTGACAGACAAATCGTGCAGCACGTGAGCGCCACTGAAAAAGGTAAAAAACCCGCGTCGCACTCCCCCCCCTTGCACTCACGAGCAGCTAATCTCGTGCCCCCACGGAGCGCAAGCCTTCACGCACGGAAAAGGGTTTTAGTGAAGGCACTGTTGATAGCCGAATCTTCCAATTACCAAGTGCTGTATTCAGAACAAGGCGCCGAGTTGCTAACACTATCATGTGCGTTGTGTCTTGTGTTTTCCTGCCCATCGCAACGTCAGGAACGAAAGCGCGCGCAAGGGGCATAGCCGCGCAAGGACTCAACGAGGAGGGCGCTGTATTAGCGAAGAAAATGAAGGGCAAGCTGTTGCGTTCCGTCGCCAAAACCTTTACAATCTCTTCGGCGAACGACGCAACTCTGTACCCTACAGAGGACACGTTTTTCGCGGCGGTGCAAGCGACGGCCAAACTGGCAGGGGGGACAGCAGAGAAAGGGCTGCGGTCTCACATTGCAGAGCGCGAGATTCGAGCTGTCATAGGGGAATGCAACAGAATTATGACGACGATCCGCGGAGAGATTACCTGGCAGCTGAAGCATTGGTTCTGGGCAGGAAAAGGGATTCCGCTGGTCGGATCGCAACAATCGGACCACCACCTTCCCGCTCGCAACAAGATGCGGGCCGAGATGAAAGAGAACAAGACATGGAGATGGAGCGGTGACGATCCGTGGGGCGCCCCCGCCTTCAAGATGACACTCTTAAAAGTTTTCCAGATGAGGAAGGAAGGACGAAACCTCGGCGTCACCCTGCAGCAACTCGCTTTCGCGGAGATGGTCATTCAATGTGAGAAAGAACAGACAACGAAGACGATACGAGCTGCGGAGCAGATAGAAAAATTGGTATTTATAAAGCAGGCAATCATCTCATCTCTACGAGCGCGCGACACGGTAATGAGTTTTTCCGTCTTTAAGCTGGACAAATCCGTATCCGTGGCTGAGAAGGCAGCAACCCTCTTTCGCTGTGGCACGCCGTCTGTCGACAGGACTGGCCTCCCAAGCACCACAATAACGGATGACGATTACGACGTCGAATACATTCTCCCTCAGAGTACACCAGCCGACGGCGGGGGGGCGCGCACCAACAGTCTCTGCGCCGCACCCTAAAAATTTAGGGACAGTTTGGCTACATTTCGACATGGAAGGGAGGATGCTGGGCAATGACCAAACGGTGGAACGGAAGGTTCTTTTTGTAGACGTTTCGAATCAAGAGATGCAAAATGGAAGGGGACAGTC